CCCCAGCCCAACCCATCCACACGTCAAACTTTCCCCATTAAGCAAAATCCGTACACCGAGATATCCCAAAGAGAGAGAGAAAAAAAAGAAGAGCCGCACTTACTAGTTGCATGTGCTTAGTGAAGCCGCAAAAAAGGGGCGTTTTCGGTGGGGCTAGATCTAACGGGTGAAAATGGTTTAAAAAAAAGATGAGAGAGAGAGAGAAAGGGAGGGTGTGGGTCGGGGGAGTAGCGCGGCTCGGAGGTAGCGTTTTTCTCTCTCTCTCTCTCTTGTGATCTCGAGTTCCCGTGCCGTGTGTGATTTTTCGGTTTTCTTCCATGTATGTCATGTGAAAAGAGGTTCGTGGGTTTCTATTACTACATGCAATTGTGATTTTTGTAGACGGATTTTTATTTTCGTATTCTTTTTTTTTTCGTTTGCAACTCCAGATCCAACAAGGGAAAAAATACATAACCCTATCCCACCTCATCCCCCTCTCTCTTTCTGAAGAGTTAGAGACTAAGCCAAAAAAAAGCGAGATATAAAAATCTCTGATGGATTTGGAAAAAAGATTACAAACATGATATCCATAGCACAATCGACATGCCTCTCCAAAGAATCAATCCTCGGCGCTAGAACAAGCAATAGCATACAGCCAAAAAACCCCAAACCAAGACAAATCCTGTGCCTGCTTTCGCCTGCTTCATAAACATGTATATATCCTTACCTTAGTCCCACCAGTAAACCCGCTAGAAAAAGACTCGCCAGTCATACGAGAAAAAAAAGCCAAAAAGAAGTGAATTGCGTCGTATAGAGGAAAGGTACGAGATTTAAAAAAGGAAAAGTCGTTTTACATCTGGAAACCTGCGCATACTAATGACCAGAGTCGCTCACACGTCTCCTGCGCCCACGACTGCCGCCTTCAGGGCGCTGGGCTAGGACATCGCGAAGTTGAGGATCGTCTTTATCCTTGTCGGTATGATGTACGCGCACGTGCCTGGGATCATCTATTAGACGAGCACACCACTTTTGATCAGTTCAACATACCTTTGTAGATTGTCCGGCCTGGGATACTTGTGTTCGCGGTCTGGGCAAAATGGACATACATAGCCTGGCGACTGGTGCACAAGGCCGTGTCGTATCATCTCGTTCTTCCTCTTAAAGCCCTTGCCTCCTTCGCCTCTAGGGCAATTTTTCACAGGACAGTAATGGGGTCGATTTGACGAATGTACGTTTGTATGTGAGCTACTATGGTCAGCATCAACATTAAACAACTACTACATGATACTCACTTCAAAAGATACTGCGTCTGGAAAGGAGCAGCGTTGCAGCCTGGGTAGTCGCACTTGAAGGACCCAGTAGCATGTGAGGGGATGCTTTGTGGCAAGCCAGAGCCCACTGGAGGTGGTAACACTCGTGATGCAAGTGCACCGTCCAGGCTCATATGGCGGGGGCGTTGCTCAATGGGCGTTGGTTGTGAAGCAGGACTCAAACCATCTGAGCTTTGATAACTCTCGCTCGATGCAGACTGCAATGCGTTGTACGGGGCGCAGTCTGACGCAGCATGTGACGGTCTTCGGGCATCGCCAAACACACTCCCGCCCGCTGATCTCAAAAATAAATCACCACGTTGGAGTGAGTCGTTGGCGCTCATTGGCGAAGAGGCGCTTAGTGATGCAGCGCTCAGTGAAGTAAAGGGCGTTGCTGGTGAGTGCGAGCCGATGGATAATTGCCGCACTCTAGAAGTTGGTGACTGCCCACTCGAAGACACAGACTGTCGTTGGGGGAATCCGTTGACTCTGTTGGCCTCGTGATCACTCGATGCCGAGCGTGCAATGTCGTCCATGTGCCTGAACGAAGGCAATTGCTGGACGGGCGAAGTAGTCGATCCATCGCGGGCGGGAGACGGGGCTTGTAATGCTGGGAGAGTGTCTGTGGATAGGCCTCTTGGTTGTGGGATGGTCAACTGTCGAAGGCCTGGGGATGTCGCCGCGTTGATATCTAGCGAGCCCCCGTTTGTCAGTTCCCCGAATTGCTGATTTGGTGGTTGCAGTGACGTGGTCGAGGCTGCAGAGTTACCAGACAAAGAGCGGTGCATACCATTGGTGTCATGACGCATTCCATTTGATGGGGCAAGCACAGAGGATATCTGAGATGGGCGTCGGTCTGCTAGCAGGTGAAGAGGCCTGAGGTTGAAATCGTCCTCGAGTACCGAATCTCGATGGGTCGACTTGGGATCAAGTTTTGGGCCACGGGCTTCTTGTACAGTGTGATGCAGGGCCAGTGACTGAAAGTGGGCTGATGCAGAGTTGACACGGCTCGAGCCGGACGGGCCCATGGCCGCGGCTGGTGATTCGGCGTCCATGTCGCTGCCAGAGTCGGTATCAAAGTTTAAGGCCTGTTCGCTTGCTTGCAGGGCAATGTCCGGCCTGTTCGGATTCATCTCCCGGAGGAGGACCATATCGCCCTGGGTAGGGCGTGGTCGGGGCCTGTGTGGATGATGCGTCTTTTGGTGTGGAGAAGCAGAGTCGTGGCTCTGTTGAAGAGTCGGGGGGTCAAACATTAAAGTGCCAATGGGAGGTGGAGTTGGTGATGGAGTCGTCTTGACAATGACTGCCGTCAGGCCAGGGGAGTGCAAAACCGCGTCGTCGTCTGCGTAATAGTGGCTGGTGTCGAGCATCTGGGTAGCCAAGGGTGCAAAGGGAGAATACAGTAAGCAATGCGAGCGGGCCGAGGGAAAGCTATCCCAAAGACCGTTCGGCAAAAGCGCCCAAGCAGAGGCCTCGAGGGCGATGACAGGAGCGAGTAGCACAGGAAGACCAGTCTTTGATGGCAGTCTGGACTAGAGTCAGCATGGTTGTGAGGGAGTGATGTCGTGTGCGTGTGTGGTGATGCGGGCTGGGTTGATCGAGGCCAAAGTGGAGGTGGAGGCGGAGAAGTCGCAAGGCGACTGGGGCAGCAGACAGGGATGGGCAAGTGCAAGTGGAGCAGGAACGATAGTCATGGGCATTGCCATGTCGCAAAAACGGGGAAGAGGGCAGCCTTAGGCAATTTACATGTGGAGCAGATGATGCAAAGCGTCTCTGTGTGTGTGTGGAAGAAAAAAAAGAAAGTAATAAATAGGCCAAAACAAAGGAAGTGAGGGAGGAGGCAGGCGGCTCTGCGCGGTGCGAAACATACCCGAGGGAGCCAGTGCGACGGCTCTTTTTCAGCCTCAAGGCGGTGTCCAAGGCGTGTGCCGATGACAAACATCAACTGAGGCGAGTCTGCGGACGAGGACGGAGCTTCGAGGGCGATGGGCATATGAGAGGAGCAGCGGGAGATGCAGTGACGGGGCTCTGGCGGCGAAGGCAGTGGTGGTGGTGGTGGTGGTGGTAGTGGTGGTGGTGGTCAGGACATGTGAGGAACGGGGTGGACTGGATGGGGAGGAGGCTGATTGCGGGGGGGTGGTGGTTGTGGTGGTAGTGGGCGGTTGTTGACTGGATTGAGTGGACGGGCTGCCCTGCATGGAGTGGGAAAGGGCGCAACTCGGGTCGCAAGGGACGGGCTAATAGCCGCGAGCGAGCGAGTGAAGCAGGACGAGAGAGGTGAAGGGAACAGGCGGGCGACACGACGGGGTGGCAGCAGTGGTGGTGGGAGTATGAGTAGTAACCGCAGCAGTGGCAGCAATAGTAGCAACGGCAACGGCATCGTCGCTGGCTGGCTGGCTGGCTGGCTGGCTGGCTGGCTGGATGGCTGTTGGCTGCTTGTGCGTGGGCAGGCGGGCAGGCGGGCGACGAGGCGCAGCCGGGCAGCCAGCAAGCCAGACAGCCAGCAAGGAGGATGCAGACGGAGACAGACGGGCAGCCCAATCCACAGTTGAGCCTCTCCCACCAACCGCCAACCACCAACCACCAACCACCAACCACCAACCATCAACCAGCCCCAAAACATGTCTCCCCCCGGGCACAGCCAAAGGTTTCGCCCGAGCGTCCTTCTCCCCCGCTTTTGCAGCCGCTAGCCTGCCCAGGACCCCACACTGCACCCTCCCCCAGCCCTGGCCCTCTCCACGGGGTTCGCCAGTAGCCCGCGGGAAAAACAAAATCCTCTGTGCCGAGCCAGCAAAGAGACCAAGACGAGCAAAAAAACCAAACACTAGAGAAGAAGACGCGGCTCCGACCTGCTGCATCGGCCCTATTCCACAATCCTCCCTTTGCCGCTCCCTGGCGCCTAATCATGTACACTACACTAACCAAGTACTTACACGCACCTGCAGAACAAGAACAAACAAAACATGCAACAACCGCCCTGCCCTGCTTGGCCCGCGACCATGTACCAAGTACTTATCCATGTATCATACCTATGTATCCATCTACCCATCTACTGCCTATCATCTAGTGTAGACTAAATCTCATCCCTCACCCCCTGCGTCTTCTCACCCCTCTTCCCCCCTCTCTCTCTACCACTACTTTTACACAATACACTTGCATCCCTTATCCTCGCTGTGCCGCCCTCATGCCACTCCCCTCCACTCCCACTGACCGCCCACGCCCCAGCTCTAAGCCTCCGGTCGCCTGCCGAATCCGGGAATCCCCGCAAACTTTGCATCCTTGGCCAGCTTGGGACGTCCAAAATTCTCGTCCAGGTCTAGGATCACCTTGAGTGCATTGCGGCTGCGGAGGTACGGCAACGGTGCCTTTGCCTCTTCCAGACCCACTGATGGCTCCAGGCTCGACGCGTCTGCCTGCGATGACCCTGGCATCGGTAGTGCTGTCCTCTTGTTAGCTTCCTTCCGACCTCAGCCCCCCCCGTCATCGCCTCTACGCGCCCACTTACCTCGCTGCAGAACCTCGTACCCGGCCAGCGTAAAGCCAAACTGCGGAGACGACCGCATAATGCGCGCCGGCCCGCCCTTGAAGAACGCCTTGAACCCTTCCTCCTTCCAAATGGTCACCGCCGCGTGTCGCAGCCCAGTATATGCAACCTCGCCCTTGCGCGCCTCCACCTGCAGCCTCGTCTTGATCACGTCGCATGGTGTGGTAAAGTATGCCGCCGGCATACCCGCCATGGCGCCCGCAGTCAACATCTGCAAAACTCCCAGCGACTTTTGTGGGCTCTCGCCGAAAAAGTCCTTCTTCAAATGGCTGTAGGTAGGAAAGTAAATGGCCGAGAAGGGAACTAGAAAAAAGCTTTCGTCAGTCATGGCCTCGACCTCAACCTCAACACCACCACAAGCACCTACCGTCACGCAACAGACACGCGCTAGCGCCCTTGTATAGGCCCACAAGACCTAGGTTCCGCACAATCCACATGGCTGACCGCCGCGGAACACCCTCGACGTTCTTGGACAGTTCACCCTGAACTTGTAACCGAATCTTGACAATCTCCAGCGGGTTGGTAAATACCTGCAGTGTGCCACGTTAGCCCCTTCACCTCTACACAAACCCTGCGCGACAAACCCCCCAGCATCACTTACAACTTGGCACGCACCTGCAGTGCCACCCGCCAACATCTCAGAAGCAAACTTGATCTGCCCCGTTGACTTGTCCGTCAGCTTGCCTCGCACCAGATCGTTGACTGTGAGCTTGATGGCCTTCTCCGGCGCTACTCCCACAAGCTGGGGAAGCACACCAGAGTACAGGCCCTTGAATCCCTCGTTCTTGATGACCTTTTTGGCACAGTCGAGCGAGTTCTTGTACAGCACTTGACCAACACCAGAGCTTCTCTGGTTCTGCATCCTCGTCTTGACCAGATCAATGGGGTACACCATAAACGCTCCAAACGCACCAGCTAGAGATCCCAGCGCAAAGTGATGCACAGACTCTAGTACGTCATGCCATATTGACTTTGTGCTCGCAAACACCTTTTGTCCTGCATCAGCAACCGCTGCCCCGGCCAGAGAGCCAATCTTGTGCCATGATGGGTCGAGCACACGAGCAAAGTCTCGCAGCCCGAGCCGGCCAGATGCCTCGTCCAAGCCAGCAAAGTGGAACAGAATGTCTGCTTCCATGGGCGTGTAGAGGTTGAAGCGGCTTATACGAGCTGCCTCGTTGAGGAAGTCGGTGCGGGTAATCTTGCCGTCAGGGCTCTTTTGCACGGCGTTGCGGATAATAAGCTCAATCATGTCCATCTGCTGAATGACGTTCTGGAAAGCGCGCACATTGGCGTATGAGATCTTGCTCCCCACTGAAATGTTGCATAATGTCGGCAGGTTCTCGAGCAGGTAGTCGGACAGCTTGTGGCTTGCAGTCTCGCGTATTATGCGCTGAAAGTCTTCTGGCTCAATGAAGCCATCCTGGTTGCGGTCAAAGTAAGTGAAGCCCTGGCGTACTCGCTCACCCTGCAGTCCACGCAGCAATTGGGCAAATTGGGGATACGTCATGGTGTGCCTGTGCTTCTTGGAGCCAATGTACAGCGCCGCCCACTGGCCCTCCCAGTCAAAGGGCAGACTGTCCTCGGTCTTGTGTGCCTTCCATGTCTGGTAAAACTCGTCAAAGTCAATGTAGCCGGTGCGCCGCCTGTCGAAGAAGCGGAAGACGACCTCGTACTCGGCATCGGGCTTTGCCAGCAGGTTCTGGAAGACGGACCAGTCGTGGATGTTGACCTTGCCCTTCTGGTCGCGGTCGGCCACCTGGAAGAGAATGCCATACTGATATCGTTTGATCTTGTGCTAGAAGCGGGCGCGGCGTTAGCGGGACTATCAGACGTACGACTGCACCTGGCGGCTGCTTACGTAGTCTTCGCCTTCCGGGGCAACGGCTGTGATGAATTGGTCCTCGTTGAGGTAGTATTCGCCCGACTCGTCTTTTTGGGCGTGCTTCATAAAGGCGGCGCGCGTCAGATGCGACAGCTGGGGCTCCTCGGTGGAGCCGAGGAGCACCTCGCGCACTTCTTCCTTGACGGTGGCCATGGCGAGCGAGTGCAATTGGCCTCGAGAGGAGCCGCAGAGGTCGGTGAAGAAGACTGTTGACCCTGGGGAGCGTGTGGTGAGTCGACCGACACGCCGTCCGAGGAGCAAAGCTGGCGGCCAGGTTGCGAGCTCGGAGGTAGTAAGCTAGGTAATTTTTAACAGCGACCCATTGGCGGGGGTATCTTACAGCGAGAGAGCGAGCGTGGGGAAGCCGCCCACGCCAGAACCGACAATTGTCCAGCCGTCCCGTCCGTCGCCGGTCCCTTCACTGACGCCTTTTGATTTTTGCTGCCGGTTATTCTCCTGCACTGGCCCGGCTGTATCCGCCTTCACTCGCTCTCGCTCTCGCCTTGCGCTTTTGCTCGCCTCATTGCTGTTCTATGGCTTTCGCCCTATCCGCCGTGCCCGAACAAAGTGACATGGAAGATGACGCAACCCATCTCAGGTGAGCGCCTCAAGCCCCCTCAGCTGCTACACCACCCACCACACAGGGCCAGTGAGGGCATGTATGTGATGCTCATAAACGCATGATACAAATGTATGTATGGAATTGGGCTCGGCACTTGCTGCAGCTACCGGGCCCAAAAGACTCTGTACATACATATTTGGGAGATCTCAACATCCCAACCTAATAAGTACTTATTACCCCGGACCGCCCTGGCAAGCGTTATTAGCGTTGCTGGGTTGCCCGTCGCCAGGGGCACGTGACCTGCGACAACAGTCATTGTTTCCTAGGCACATGCTTACAGTGTGTGCACGCCTTTGGCCCCAGGCTTATCTCGTCTCGGCCTGTAGGATCGCATGGCTAGTCTGATCGACTGCCGATATCCGGAAACCCTGGTCTAGTCCTATACAAACCAAAGACAAAGGTACATGTCACGTTGAAACCACCATGGCCATGTGCTCACGATGCGCCCATGCGAACACTGTTCAAGTCCCTCGCCACGCAACTGTAATGCCGATTCTTCTCCCCTTTCAGCTGGGTGTCACGGCGGCTGCCGCCGTGTCATGTCGCCATCCCGCCGCCTCTTGGCATCAACTATTGGTTCACCTGTTTGCACCATAGAGCAACACCATCGCACTCAAGTTGTACCCAACAAGGCCAACTGCAACGGAAGCATGCCAGATTCTTTCACACATGCGAACGCACAAGGCCCAACTACCCACACGCGTGCTCAAATAGCCATTCCTCATTGGCTACAAGAGTTTGCAGCCTGAGCAATTCCCAAGACAAAGACAAGAGAGCGGAAACTCTAGGCACATCTCATGTACTTGGCGGGACCTCTCCACCAGCGGAAACACGATTATGAAATTGGACCCAAATGGCTCAAGACCACTGAAACTCGATGCAACCGGCAACCTGGCACTCGGCGCTCATCCTGCTATCCTGGGCGCTTCTTGTCGTTCTCCATGTCGCATCGACTTGGCTTTTCCTACCCTACATGTTCGACGCAGACAACTATCATATAAAGTTGACTGTGCTCCCAGCGTTTTGGGACTACTTAAGTACAGGCTCACAGCTATACAGTCAAGATGGCGTCTCCAGTGACAGCAAAATATGACTGGATTCTTGCAATCACCACCATTGCTTTTGTATTTTCTGCCTTTGGTAACGGTGCCAACGATGTCGCCAACGCATATGCCAGTGAGTAACAACAGACTCATGTTCACGGGAAGCATGCCGACTAACTATCAAAATAGCCTCTGTTGCGGCACGAACGTTGACGATGGCTCAAGTTGGACCACTTGCCATTGCTACAGAGTTCATCGGTGCTGTTGCGCTCGGCGCCCGTGTCACTTCAACCATCAAGAATGGTATCATCGACATCGATCGTTTCATTGGTAATCCAGGGGCACTCATGCTGGTCATGGGCTGTGCTGGTAAGAACATATACTAACAACTGTAAAATACCACGCTAACAATCGGCAGAGGTCGGTAGTGCCTTCTGGTTGATGCTTGCTACAAAGCTAGGCATGCCCGTTTCCACTACTCAGACTGTTGTCGGCGCCATCGTTGGAGCTGGCTTTGCAAGTCAGACTGATGCCAAGTGGGCCTGGGAAGATGGCTCCCTATCACAAGTCGCCGCCTCCTGGGCCATTGCACCATTGGTTGCTGCTGCCTTCTCAGCCATAATCTTTGGTACAGTCAAGTACTTGGTTCTAGAACGAAAGGATCCGTTCAAGAATGCCATGCGCTTTATTCCCTTCTACTTCGCCACGACGGGAGCTCTCCTTGCCCTCTTCATTGTGGTCGAAGCCCCCACTGCACCGTCACTCGAAGAGTTTGGCGCCGGAAAAGCCGTGGGCATCATCCTTGGTGTCTTTTTTGGGTGTCTGGCAATCTGCTACATCTTCTTCATGCCATTTTTCAAACGCAAGTTGATCATGAAGGACCCTCGCGTCCGGGTTTGGCACGTCGTTCTTGGCCCCATGCTTCTCAAAGAAAACACACATCTCTTTTGGCCTGGAAAAGGCGAGGAGTATGTTACCGATTACTATGCCGATGCCTATGGTCAGGTTCGCGCCGGAACACATCACGATAAGAATGCTGGCAAAGACTCTGTCCAAGACGAAAGCATGAAAAAGCTCGGCGATGGATCCCCGTCGGACTCGATAAAGCAAAGTAACGAGGGTCCTCTGCCAAGTGATCCGGAGAAGCCACGCGTAGAAGAGACACCCACGACTCCTGTCCATTTGGCCCGGAAGAAGCCCGAGCCTTATGAACGTTGGATTGTTCCCGTCAAGTCCCTGTCTTGGTTCAACCCCCAAAAGTGGTGGGCTTATCTCAAATTCGGGTTTCTGCGAGGTGTTTCTATGGACGTCATTACGCACGACAACGACCTGCTCCGTGCCATCCATTCCAAGGCCAAACGTTACGATGTTCGTGTTGAGCATCTTTGGACCTACTGCCAAGTTGTCTCTGCCATGATGATGTCCATCGCCCACGGTTCCAACGACGTAGCCAACGCTGTTGGCCCTTGGTCGGCCGTATACCAAACTTACCTCGAAGGCGAGGTCTCGACTAGATCAAGGACTCCCATCTTTATGTTAATCGTTGCCGGTTTCTTGCTTGGTCTCGGATTTTGGTTCTACGGCTACCACATCGTCCGTGCGCTTGGCAACAAGATTACCCAAATGTCACCCACTCGTGGGTTTGCAGTTGAATTGGGCGCTGCTGTCACTGTTTTGCTCGCCTCTAGGCTTGGACTGCCTGTGTCGACCACTCAGTGCTTGACTGGATCAGCTGTTGGTGTCGCCCTGATGAACTACGATCTTGGCGCTGTCAACTGGCGCCAGATTGCCTTCATCTTCTCTGGATGGGTACGTTTTTTTTCAAACTCATCTTTACTTTGTCGTTTTCTAACATGGCTTAGGTTCTTACCCTTCCTATCGCTGGTCTTATTTCCGGTCTCCTCTGCCTCATGGCACTCAACACCCCTCACTTCTGAACTTTGTGTCTTCCCTGAGTATATGCGCCCCTTGCTAGCGCACCTCAATATCTCTTTTGTAGCATATAAGTATTTTCGCAATATATCCATAATTTATATACACGAAAGTATCGTCATTTTTCAATCGTTACTGTGGCTAAAACATCACGTCGTGGATAGATGTGGCGCAAGCGGGGAAGACTACACTGTTCAACAGGTATTCTTGTACTCATTTGTGGGACAGCTGTCTATGAGAAAATACTTACATTAGTCTTATGTCGTTGTCAACATGTGTTGAACATCACACCTGTGACATCATTGACCGTAATTGCACGTGAAAGCGCAGGGCTAGACCTATGTGGGCCTGCCCGCTTGTTAGACAAGTGCCACAGCCAGCCTTGGCACGGGTGATGCACAGAAGTGGATCTGGCTGTGGCTAGTGATCACAACATACCTACGTATTGGGATATCTGTAGCTCTCCGCGGGTTTGATTTCATGGAAAGTAACACTTGACACTGTTCCTATTTGTTCATAAAGTAAATTCGTAACCTTACGTCCTGGGCCATGCATTCTAGACCCTGCTCCCCACATATATCACGCACTGCGGTATCACTCAAGCAAAAGGAATTAGGCAATCAGATTGGAGTATCGCGTTGATTGCGTGAAAGGATGCCTACTCTTGGCAGCTGGTTGCACCAACGTCACAAACCTTGATCGTCATAGTTGCCTCACTGAATGCAATCACTATGATGCATCCTTGGGTTCCTCGTGTGATATAATCCAACACCGGTGCTCTACTCTAGACGACACAACCATTCAGACACAACCATTCAGACACAACCCAAATTCATCATGAGCACGCAAAACGTTATCGTCGTACCAGTAGCAGGTGAAGGTGCTCGACAGCCTGGGCAGGATACAACAGAGAGTAAGCCTAGACGCATCATCCGTTGATTTCATCTCAGTTACTGATATTCGATATGAACGCAGTCGCTACGACAATTCAACATGCTTTGGAAGAGAATGCACATCCGACGCAGCCACAGCCTGGACCGTTGAAGCAGATCATAGGTGAGATATAATCACTAGATGTAAGGGACGATAACAGCGATGCTTACGTACGATAGCCCATCAAGAGTCGCTTTACCAGTACATCAACGTAAGTCCATCTTTTAAATGCGCGCAACATATCGCGTCTAACCTAAATCCGCAGTGGAATGACCCGACCCGTACCTTGGGCTCTTACATCGGTGTTCTCAGTTTACTGTTTGGCGCACACTATCTCCCACTCACCCAAATGGCCCTGAAGGGCGGAGTGACCGCCCTGGGATGTAAGTGTTCTCGGATTCACCCCCATAATAGTTGAGTATAGAGCTGACTTTAGTTCTACCAGTGGTATCAGTTACCGAGTCAGCCAGCCGCATGCTGGGCAACCGCTCTTTGTCCGCTCAGCTACGACCTAAGGAATACAAGACGTTCCCGGAGCCGACGCTCAATGCGACACTGAAGGATATTCATGACTTTGTGCAGTATGCTGCAGTTCAGACTCAGAGAATCGTCTTTGGACAGGACTTACAAAAGACATTTGCTGTAAGCTGTCCCTATTACCTTATACATGAGCCACAGGCTTACCACTGAACAGTCCTTCCTCGGCCTCACAGCTCTATACTGGCTCGTCAAAGCCGTCCCTCCCTTCTGGCTCGCCGTCCTAGCCGTAACTTCCATCTACGCCGCGCCCCTCATCGCCTCCCCCCGCGGCCGCGAAATCGCCCGCGAAGCCGGCACAAACGCCCAGGAACTCGCAGCAGCCGCCACACACAACGGCCGCATGCTCGCCCACGACGCCAGCTTCAACGCTCAGAAACTCGCAAACACCGTGACTGAAACCAGCCGCGCAGCCGCCCAAGACGCCACCGCCCGCGTCGGCTCCCTCGCAAACAGCACAAAGGAAACGGGTCGCGCAGCTACAAACAGCATCAGTTCCGGTGCGCAGGAAGTAGCGAACCAGGGCAATGCTCTCGCGCAAAAGGGTAAACAAACAGCGTCGGACCTCTCTTCCCAAGCCAAAGGCACAGCTTCGCAAGTCTCCAGTTCCGCAACTGGCAGCTTGAAGCACGCCCAACAAGCTGGCTCGAACGCAGCCCAAAGGACTGTCGATACTGCCACCTCAGCCGCCAACCACGCTGCCAACCATGCTGCGTCAACTGCCAACACCGCTGCCAACTATACCAAAGACCACGCATACACAAACGCCCATGGCCCCACTGTCTATTCTTCTTCCCCCACCACCACCACCAACAACCATGGTAGTGACAGAGCTTCAACGCATAGGGGCCCAGAAGCCGACCGCACCACTCCCCGCGGTATCGCCGCTTCCTCCAATCAACCAGCCTACACGGGCGCCAAAGTAACGGAGGCACAGGAACCAGCGGTTATGTATACGACGGCGAGGGATGAGGCGCTTGAGCGCAGTGTTTTGGAGAGATCGAGGGGAGTTGTGTGAATGTGCAGGGTTATATTTGTAGCTTGGGGTTTAATGAAGGTGGGAGATGGGTGTGTGTGTGTGTGTGTGGAATGGGGAAAAGGGTAATTTGTAAAATAAGAGGGGATATGAATGTTATGAACTTTTCTTTTATGAGGGTTGAAAGTGAATGACATGGGGGTTGGTTGAAGGTGTGGGAAAGGGTGTAGTAGTGGGTGTATTTAAATCGATTTTTTTTTCTTGCGGATGATGGTAACTTGTTAGAGGAGAAGAGGGGGTTAGTGATGTACACTTCGTTTTCTATGTGGTGTGTGATATGGGGATGTGAATGCTTGTTGCTTTTTGGTTTGCTTATAGCGGAGTGGTAGATTTTGCTGGTACAGGTTGTAAGTATATGTTAAGGCGACATGGGGGGGTTGAAAGTTGGGACGGTTGGGGGATATCGTGTCGAGGCTGCACGTGTGTGGTGGGAGTTGTTCGTGGATGGGTGTGTATTACTTTGGTTTAATATGGGAAAGTGGGATGAATGATTGAGAGAACAATGGGTGGTGGG